TTAATCCATCTGTCATTTGAGGAATGAACCAAACCATTGAGGAAACTGCTATTTTGCACTCAATTTTTTTTTTTAATCCGAAAAATCATCCTTTAACTTTCACTGTTAAGGATAAAACATTTTAATTTCCAAACATGTTGTTTATATGGATAGAATGGTCCATACTGAATGAAGCCCTGTCCAAAATATCTAAAAGAGGTTGACTGGATTATGGTATGAATTTCTTTTTAATGTAAAGTAGTAGAAAGTAGAAAAAGAACTCCCCCCCCCTAATAATCACACATTAAGTGCAGAAATTAATGGATAGCTTACTTGGTATTGTTTTGCATTTTAAACACAGACTTTGAAGGACAACTGATGAGCAAAGACAGGTGAAAAATCCACATTTCAGTAGCTACTTATAATCTCTCCATTAAAAAAAAAATGAAGATATGGAGAACTGATAAATGGGATTTCCCGTTTTCTCCTGCAAACAGCAACAAAAGCAACTTTTAAAGAATGTCTCCATCTGGGAATAATATTGAACTGTCCCGGATGAATCCTTATCCTCTCTACTGATATAGCTCCAATACCATGAGATTTTGCAGTAGGGTTGATTGGTTTTAGTCTAGTTCAACACTTTTTTACCACAGGTAGCCAGCTATATTACTCTGGAAATACCTACACACTTTTCCTTGTTTTTTGTCTAGTATATGAAGCAGAGGGATATGAGAACACGTGAATATGGAAGTTCCATTTAACAATAATACAGCCATCCTTGATCTTTCCTGTTTTAGGCACTGCCTAAATACACCTATTTGCCTATGTTAGTCTTTCCCATTCTATAACTCTGATTAGTTGGTTTAATAGTTTATTTTTTACCCTATAGCAGAGTTTTCACTTTATTCTTGTAAGTTGCTTCATTATTTAAATAAATGAACATCGCTATACATATATTTTAAATGCACTTATCCATCAGTATCTCACTGCTTCTCCCTCAAGATGAGGAATATTATTTCAAAAAATATGCTTAGGATGTATCAACATGTAGCTCAAAAATCTGGTTATTAATTCATTATTAATGCTAAGAATTACATTAATTCTACAGGACATTGCACTATAGGGCACTGCTGATACTACATGGCCATTGATAAGAGACTGTGGGAAGAATTATCCCCAGCTGGAATATGAGAAATATACTCACCACATCAAGCTCCGCTTCCTTTTTAAAAACAGAGTATGCTTCTTCATAGCCATTAGAACGAAGATAATCTGCTATTGCTCGATTTCTAAACAGAGAGATTTGGATCCCAAATTAATATCATAGTATTTTTGAATACTCTCCAACCTATGTTATCCCCAATACTTGCTCTACCAGAACCAACATGGACAGAAAACTGCCTTCTAACTTTTATTATGATATATATGTATTTTATTAAAACTTTAAAAAAAAGATCAGAACTAATACAGACTAATATGAAGTAAGGAAGAAAAAAGAAAAAGGAAGAAATCAAAGAGAAACTTAAAAGTGCAAGAAAAGAAAAAAACAGTAAAGAAAAATAAAAAAGAGAAAAAAGATACAACGCAGTGGCTTCTGATATTCTTCATAGCAGTTATAATTATATTTTAACCTCTCTCTCTAAAGTTACATCATGATTCTCTTCTTTCTATAATTTATCCCATCTAATCATCAAAGCCATAAATCAAATAAATCAGCCTAAATTTTACTTTGAATGGGAAATGACAATTCATCATGATCTGTTTGTACATTTGTCATAGCTCTGTACAATATAAAACTTACTTACAACATATGAATTAGTAGTAACAGCAATTATTTTGCCAGAGAAGAAAGGAAATCAGTCTTTGCCTGGGCTTGTCAGAGGTTTCTGATGTAACTGTTTCTCTGTCATCCTAGACTGCTTTACAGAGTTAGGACTGTTAGATAAATTTCTAAATGCTATGCAGTGGAGGGAAGAATTGTGGACTTCTTATTCATTTAACATCAACATGTAAGTAATTGAGAGTCAGTTAGGCCTAGTAGTGAAGGCACCAGGCTAGAAACCAGGAGACTGTGAGTTCTAGTCCTGTTTTAGCCATGAAAGCCAGCTGGGTGACTTTGGGCCAGTCACTTTCTCTCACCCAACTCACTTCACAATGTTGTGGGGAAAACAGGAGGAGGAAGGAGTATTAGGTATGTTTGCTGCCTTGAGTTATTTACAAAGTAAGTTCATCCCTTAATTGCCAGTATTTTCTTTCAAATCCTTCAGGTTTGTTTAAATTTTGGAACATCGATACATTTGAAAGCTAAGCAAACCCAGAGAAACTCCATTTTTCCGTAAATTCCTATACCCCTTTCAACTTGCTCAACACATATTTTGTTCAGTCTCCAACTCTTTGTTATTATCCAAAGTACCCAGAGTTGGGCCTTCTTTAAAGCAACGTGAATACACACACATACACACACATGTCCCAGTTGTGGAGTTATTTACAAAATATTAAAGATGGAATAAAAAAAAAACTAAAAAAAATGTAAGGGAATGGCAGAGCACCTGGAATTAACATCACATACATCAACTACATTCAGCTACGCACCCCCTCTTTCTTAAATTCCACTGTGGCAAATGGAAATCCTGAATTAATTCTTGGAATGGACTGGATGAAAGCCACTCACCCAAAACTTAAATCAGGGTTTGAAAGAATTATGATAAAGGGGGAGGTTTCAAATTCAAGTAACTCATAAATGAGACACAGAGGCCAGGATCTTCCTTGAGCTAGCAGATCCAGACATCAAAATCTCTCCTGGATTCCCAAATAGTGGCTCTGGCCCTGCACCCTTTCCTTGATACCTGAGATTAGCCTTAGAGGCCTCACCATCTAAGTATTCTCTAGATCAGTTGGCTACAACTAATTGAAAGCCAGAGCTGGTCCAAAATATCAGTGTTGCAATTTTGTCTGATTCCAACTGCAAATACCATGCAACATCAGACCTAAGAGACCTGTTTATATCCAGGCTCAATTTGTAATGCTGGTCTTCATCCTGAAGCCCTGTGTAAGCCTTTTGTAAACAAACTTTTCCATCCATATGCACTACGATCATCCACACGCTATCAACGGAGCCTGATGCACGAATATAGCCTTATGCTCCTAAAGCTGATAATTTCTTGGCAATTAGACCATCTTTATGATTTTCCTGCCCAGAAAAACTCATACAGAAGTTTTGTTAATCAAATTTTTAAAAATCAAGGTAATATAAATGTAATTTTGATCACTTCTGAGGTTCCCCCCCAGAAGTGTAAAATGCATGCAACTATTATTCCAATCAATCATCTAAGGGATGTGCACTGTTATTCCTTAGTCTAAACAAGAAGCCCTTCTACTCCAAAGGATTTGCATAATGGCACCAGCAAAGGCAACACTGGTAAAAGCGGATGCTGACCACTGCAGTAATGAAGACCAACAGACACCCCTTCTCAAAAACAGCTATGACTGCAGGCAGGCTGTGACCTAAACGAAAAGGGGCATGGCATTACTTACTTTACTGAACCAGGACATTATCTGACAGCAAACCGATCAGCAGTTAACTGACCATCAACCAACTCTTCAAATACTACTGCGGGATCATTGACTCAGCAGAACAGTTTTGCTCATTGTATACTGCAATACTTTTGGCAAGAACTAACATCTTATTGAGCAAAATTGCCTTGGTGAATCCAGAACTTGCTAGAAAGTGCATGCGCGCTCGCTTGCTCTCTCTCTCTCTCTCTCTCTCTCTCACACACACACACACAGAGACACCTATTGAATATGTAATCTTGGAACAGGCAAGTTAACACTTCATAAATCCTGGTTCCAGGCTCAATTTAAGATGCCAGCAATAGTCTATTAAGCTTTAAACAGTTTAGAACCCAAGTTCTCCAAAGATAACATTCCAGACAACATCTAACTCATGCATTAAGATTAGCTGAGGATGTTGTGCCTTTTGAACCACCAGTGGGTTCAGTTTATAGAAGTCATTCTAGAGGCAGAATGCCAATTATGGAACTCAATGGAATGTCTCCTGAGCACGTTCTGCCATATTTAATTAGACGAAGGACTGTCAAAGAGCCTCCTCAGTAGTGTTGTCCCATTTTGGAAAGCCTTTCCACTAAATCAATCACCTGGCACCTCCTTTGCCGTCCTCTTGGTAGCAGACAAAGAAAAAAAATGTTTAAGCCACTCCAGAAATAGAATTGTATGACAGTATAAACAGCATGCAATAGCATGTTTATTTATAATCCTTACCACCTCCTGATGTGTTGGATAAGGGTCAAGATGACTGGGCATTATAAGAATTGTAGTCCTACGTATCTGGACTATATCAGATTGGGGAGCCTATAACACATAGGTACTATATGTTAAATAGAACCATCCATTTTCAAACTCATTGTCATGGAAGGCCCAAATGTACAGTGAATGAGAAAAAGAAAGAGGAGCCTAAACGAACTCATGCTATATGGTTTTAGACTAATGCTTGTAAAGTACAGAAATGCTGCAGCCACAATGTCCAACATTCTTTGTTTAAAAAAAAAAAAAAAGATGCCCTACCTTTCTAGCTACAATCAAGGTCATTCGAGATGGCTTACAATAAAAGAATCAAAAGTTCACATGTGAAAACCACGTTAACAGAATTGACAAATAAATATTAATACAGTAGCAGGCCTAAAACACAGTTGAGAACAAGAGTTTAGCAAAATGAAAGACTGCATTACTAAAATGCACACATACTCAGGATGAAATTGAACCCTGCAGTTATTTCTCAGAAGCAAATTCTGTAATATTGCTTCCAGCATAGGAAAGGCCTCACTCAGTCAACATTACTTTCTTCTGTCAAAAGATGATTCAAGACTCAGCTTACTTTAATGAGCAGGTGGCCTTGGAGGGAACTGTTCTCTTTACAACACAGAGCTCATAATAAACAATATTCACCAAGACTGCATGAGAGATATGGTTGTTCAATCACAGCACCAAAGAGTACATTCCCTCTGGATCCATTCCTAAAGCTATGAATCAGCCACAGCCACTTGAAGGCTCAGGCAGCTGCTTCAAGGTATACCCAGAGACCTTGGGAGGGCCTCAAACAGCTACTTCAGAAGCCACCTCCAGAGGAGCACGTTCCTCAGTCACAAAACACCTTGTGAACTTATTTTTACAGGCGCAGTAAAGACAGACACAATTGGGTCATGTGCTTAATTGGGGAGCTATGTAAATCAATAAACAGACTGCAGTACAAGCCACTCTCAAAACATGTGAAGTAGTCTTGATCTATCACTATGATCTTAGATAGATGTACAGATCTACAGTAAATACCTTATGTTTCTTCTGTTTAATCTTGATAAGGAAGCCAGGCCTTATCAGGCTTTTTCTCCAAACATTTATGTCTTCAAATAATTTCTTTATTATTTTGCTCAAGCCCATTCCTTTTCTGATATTGGGGTATATCACACTAAGCCATTACCTCAGTTTATGGGTGAACATGTTTTGGATGAACGTGTTTTGTGTATCCAGCCAACTATTTATTTATATTTATATAACCAATAAACCATGGTTAAAAAAAAGAGTTAAGCATGAACATGTGTGCACTAGGGCTATATGCCCATAACTGGGCATGCTAGCAAATTATATGAACTCCTCACAGTAATTTGCCAAGTTTGGGGTTATCTCACATTTATTTATCAGGAATAACCCCAGCATATCTTAATCTGGTTCAAACCTCCACAGGCTTTCGGATGGATGCATGAAGCAGCTGGCCAGCCTCCCACTTTTTGGGCTTCAATTCCCAGCATTCTTGAGCTAACATGGTCATGACTATGAATTCTGGAAGTTGCAGTTTATGCGTCTAGAGCGTGGCCAGGTTTGGGAAAACTGTTGTAAATCATCCCTTTCAATATACATATTCATCCTATGTCTAGCCACTTCCCCATATGGGACCTGAGATTAGGATGTGGAAGCAGTTTGGCGTGCTTTGTCCCTCATGAATTGTTGCTTTGTGGTCAGATGCTGGTGTTAATTCAACATTATAAAACTTGACCACTGACAGCAGCTGACCGTAAGTAAAATCAACACTAAAATTTGATACTCTCAAGTACTCACAGCTCATCTCGTTGCCTCTGTGACAGCACCATTGTGGCTGTGATGTCAGGTTAACGTGATCCAGCTGTCTCCTCTGCGTCAAGCACCTTTGAAATTCTGTGATACACAATTCAGTCTGCCACAAAGTGGCTTCAACCCAAAAGACAAGGCGTTGCCACAGGTAAACACTAGCAAATAGGCAGGATGCATTCAACAATGAAGAGTCATTCCATCTAGAAAACAAAAGGAAAAACAATAGAACTTGTCAGTAACAGAGTTTTCCATTTAAGTATGTTCTCAGCATAAAATATGCATAAATCTTTAGAGCTGCTTATAATTGTCTTAAATGGTACCACCCCCCAAAACACTCTCCCTAAAGTTTCCATCAGCATGTAATTTATTGTGACAGAAGGAAAAAAATATTTCATACGAAAGGAATAATTGCATTGTCTGCATTTAATTACATTATTGTATTCTTACTTAAATTTAAACATAAATTAAATCAAACTTTGTTCTGCCTCCCTTTTATTTTAAAAGCAGCCATAACTCCTTACAAATTTGACTACACAAATTACAAAACATCAATTTAGTTTTTGTCATTTGCTAGATTAGTAGTTTGTCCTAAAACAAAATGCCTGTTAAATCCATATTATGCAGAATAGATATAGTCTTCTTTAATCTCCTCTCCTTTTCTCAAAATATTTAAATAAAATTTTAAAAGCAATGGTACTACTGACACTGCAATATATAAAATAGTGGGCTACAATTAGCCAACCAAAGATTACTGAACTAGTGTAATTGGGCACATAAGAGTATTCTAGTACGTTCAATATGCATTGCGGAGTAGCAGATACCAAATAATATAAAGTAGTAAAAGGTTTGGCAAAACAGACATTGGAAAATAATGAAATACCTCATTAATTTATATTCAGGAATATTATGAACTTTAAAAACCCAGCTTTATAATTTTTTTTACAACAAATATGAAGAAGCTGGGAGATGAACTACTATGCTTAAAAATTCTTCATTTATTTATGAAAAGACATACGAAAGGTTACAGTTTACATTAACTTTGCCAAAAGCTTTACTTTCATTGTACTGTACTTTAGTGTTTTCCATTATTACACTTATGAAACCAGGAGGGATAATATAAAAAAAGAGGGTTCCTTTGCCAAATTATGATCTAGTCAACCCACTGAGATCCTTCAGTTAACATACCTAGCTATTTCATTTGGACATTGTTATGAGTAGAATTTTCACAGGAGACTTTTATTCTCCACTGTCTTCATTGGCAACAAATTTTACCAAATCCAACAAGTTAACATATATTTCATACTTCAATGAATGCTAGATCTCAGCCACTCTTCTTGGTGGCTCAGAACTAATATCTGGGATGTTTAATATAGGGTAATATTCAAGCAAGAATACGAAGAGCAAGAAAGTATTTTGTTAAAAAACAAACTCAGTTTAAGTACTTGTGTCATAAGAAAATAGTGTTTAATGGATTTTTAACCCAAGACGGAATTTCTATAAAATTAGTTTCTCTCAAGGTTTAAATGATGCCTTTGAAAGTCTAACTACTAAAAACAAGCAGAAAACCCAAGAAACCACAAAAAAGTAAACATCCAACAGATTTTGTCTAATTTGTTACTCATAGACAGGACTATGAGTAACTTGCAATTCTGTGTTATGCCACAGAGGCACACAATTTAGTGTCAGAAAATAACAGCAGTTTTTGGGAGAAATATAGTTTAAAGAAATGCCAGGTCAAACAATCTTTGCAATGTCTGCCTACCCTTATTTATGTCAGGATATGTCCATAACATTAGAAAAGCTATCAAATAAGACTCAAATGCAATGTTAGGACAATATTGCTTACACCTGTGGAATAATACTTATTTAAATGCTATTAAACCAGTGGAATATACCTGCTTATTGCAGTATGACAGTTAGACCCTGAGCTATTATACTTTTCCTGGGATGTTGCACATTCAGCCACTCAACAATTTTACTATGGTCTTACAGAGCCTTCCAGCTTTTGAGATTTCTAACAGCAGCATTTTTTCCCAAATTTCTTTTATTCTTCAAATATGAGAAAATATACATTTCCAGACTGCCCCACCCCAAATGGACAGACATACTGAGAGAGTTATAGGCATGGCAATTTCTATACTATGCAATGCCCTCCTCCATTTATCTTACAAATGGTCTGAATTCTGAATTCAAATCATTCCAAGCTACGTTCAAGCCATTTCTCAACTGGCACTATTCTGCAGCTATAGTTCTTAGAGGGCAGATGTGCTTTTTGACAATGAATTGCCCCTACAATCAAGAAAACCAAGTACTGCAAGTACAGCTACTATGTAAAGAGTATGTAATTAATATGTATTAAATGCCAGAAGCCAAGCATTGCAACACTGCCCAGTTGTCCACAGGCTGTTCAGCAAAGAATTCTGCATATCATGAATAATTCGCTTTTAAAAACACTACAATTTGTAGGCAATGGGTAGGAGCCAAAGTAAGATGGGTGGTGACAAATTTGAAATATAAATAAATAAATGTCCACTCAAAGGCAACTTAATAGGAGCATTAGGTTATTGATGTGTTTATTTATTCAATTTATATAGCAGTCCATCTCACATTCGTGATTCTGGGCGGCCTACAATTAAAACATAAACAGTACCAAAAATAAAAAAATAAAACATCCATACATACAATACAAACACTAAAAACAATTAAACGATTAAAGACATACAGTACAATCCTTGGGAGAGCACAGCCATTCAAGAACAATATAGCCATTTATGGGCTCCACACCACTCTGATCCCCAGGCCCGGTGGCAAACCCAGGTCTTCAGGCCCTTCCAGAAGGCCATCAAGGTCAGGGCCAGCCTGACCTTGGGAGAATGATATTCCATAGGGTGGGTGCTGCAGCAGAAAAGGCCTTCCTCTTGTCACCAGATGACATTCTCTAGTGGACAGAACCCAAAACAAGCCTCTTCTGCCAGACCTGATGGGATGGGTAGATGTCACTGGGGAGAGGCGGTCCCTGAAAGTTATAATTCAAAGGTGGGGGGGGGGGAGAGATGATGCCTATATTTTCAAAGATATAATTCACAGGATTACACACCAAATCTGAGGACAAAACTAAGCACCTGTCTAGAATAATTTATGTGCTTTATGCTAAATCACATTAGTTGTTTCTTGCTTAGACATTTGGCAGTAATTTGAACCTTCAGGGAGGTGGGGAATGGTTACCATTTGGAGAAGTAAACACATTCATGACTTCTGAAATTCTTCTCTATTTTTTAGTAGATAAATTTTCCTCTGTGGTAATGAACTCTTGGAGTTACATATGCAACAGAGTTACTTGTGTGCCATTGGATAGTGTCTCTAAGCATTTTTATACGTAAAAAATAAAGTTGACCAAACACCCTCTTTCCAAACCACTTTTTAAAACCAGCTTTTAAATTTACATGATCGAGAAGGAAAATAAAGGCGGAATGTAAAACAACTCTCTTGCTTAAATTTAAAAAAAATTGATTTGTTGATTTGTTTTTTGTAGCCAGCTTTAACACAAAGTTTAATTCAAACAAAAATTATAACATTCTGGCTTAGCATCTATAGATATTTCTCTTGTTTGCTATGTCTTCTTGAAATACTCCTTCACATTAATTTTTTTCTCAGAAAATGTAGCAAACAAAAATGCTGAAAAAGACAAGCAGATGTGTGCACACAGGATACTGGCTAGGGAAGAAGTATTTATGCTTTAGAGCCATGGTTCCCAAATAGGGCACCCCAGCGAACTCACAAGTATCCCTCAAAAATTTAAAATATCCTGTGACAACTCTCTGAGTTCACTGCAGCACTCTGGAATGACATGGTGCAGAGTTTGGGAACCACGGGACACAATGAAAAAATTACTAAGACACTAAGTAATTGTGAATTGAGAAAGTTTGAGAACCTCTGGGAAAGAAAAACAGACTATATTCCGCCAGAAACTGGATAAAAGGCAGCACGGGTCAAAGACCTTGCATTCGAGAGATACCCATGCTGGATTTGAAACACCCACAGTTGGGGTCCTCCAATTAGCAGCATATACCCCCTCCATCCCCAGCCTGAATGGTTGAAAGGATGGCTAAAGAGGCAGCACAAAAGTCAAAATAAGGAAGCAATGGGGTTCTCCACCTGGTCTTCGGACTGGAGCACAGATCAAACAGCAGAAGCATACATGCAGAGGCAGACCTGCTGCTGCCATTCTCCCCTTCCTCCTCCAAGCTGTAAAATGTTCTGGTTTGAGCATGTACTTGATCATGTAGTCCCCCTGTAGTACTACTGCATACCAGAAGAGGTATGTTCTAGACTGCCTTAAAACTCACAGCTTTTCTGCCTTCTTCGCTGATGAAGGATCAAATGCCATCTATTTCCAGAGCAAAACTATTTCATCAGCATTGAAGACCTGTACTTTCCAGACTTAGCCAGCTGCTGGAACTCTGCTGGATATGTTTATGCTGCCTCGTAACTGCTACTTCACCTGACAACTACATATTATGGAGGTTGTGGAGGCGCTTGAATTTTTCAAATCTGCCCTCGTTGACCTGAAAACCAAGCTCAGTGCCTTCCAACATTTCTACCACTTGACTGCTTTCTGCCACAAATCGCCCATTGAGCTGCAGCACTTTCACAGGAACTACTGGTTCATTCAGTGGCTTATGCCTCTGGGCTTGGCCCTCTATCCTCAGGTTGAGGGTCTTTTCCAATCACTCCATGTGGGGATCACATGATAGTACACCACCATGAGACTCTGAGACATGCCAGACACTATTCTTGCACTGATCTTGGGTTAGTTTTTCTTTATGGTGCAAAGAGTGGACTCACTTTTGTCATAACGGCATGCAAAGATGTGTACTGTCTCCATGAACCAATAAGCCCAGCAGTTTCATGTTCTCATTCAAGGGCAATAATTTGGGAAAACTTTTTCCATTTCCCTCAGCACAGCTCTCTGCACATATGCTCCTATGTTTGACTGTAGAGGAAGTAAAATGTCCCATGAACATTTGTAGGAATAGACCAACCATATAAAGTGAAAACCACACACCAAAAACATGGATATACAATATATCCAGGTAACTAGGACTAGTCTGTATTTACCAACAAAGTTCAACATTCAGGTGAGAAAGGAAAAAGAATCCCTATCAAAAGAAACTAAGCCAGCTGCAGCCTTGTCAATGAGTGAATGTTGTCCTAA